TGCATGCACACATGTACATATACATGAACACCTTCCACCCCCCACTAAATGGAGGTACTAAGCAGAATTTGGGGGGTATGGTAGTTTAAATGTAATAGGCCCCAATAATCTCATAGGGAGTGGCATTATTAGGAAGTGTGGCCTTGTTGGAGGAAGTGTGTCACTGTGGGGGTGGGCTTTGAGGTCTTTTGCTCAAGCTTTGCTCAGTGTGACACCAACCATTCCTGTTGCCTGCCTAGCAAGATGGAAGGACTCTTTGCTCCAGCACCACATCTGCCTGCACCACTGCCTTGCTTCCCGCCATGATGATAATGGACTAAACCTCTGAACTGTAAGCAAGTTGTCCCAATTAAATGTTTTCCTTTATGAGAGTTGCCATGGTCATGGTGTCTCTTCATAGCAACAGAAACCCTAAGACAGGGGGCAAGATTTAAAATAGAGTTTTGCTAATTTAGTAACTAGACTTAAAACATTCCAAATATACTGAATAATGAAAAAATTATGAAAGTAGTAAAAGGTTAAGAATTTTAACACATTGTCTACATTTTTTCCTCATTAACTTCTTGTCCTGTACGGTCTGTTCAATTCTGACAGCTTTCCAAACCTCTACTGTGAATCTCTTATTAGTTAGCATCTCATCGCTTCCTTTCTTAGAAGCTTTTAAACCTTGGTGTAGCCTGCCTGTCTGTATTTAGTTCTATTGCCTAGGGCTTCTAGTTTACAGTGAAAAGGAATCAGGAGAGACTATCACATGTTCCCCCATTCCACAATTGTTAAAATAATTGCTTTAAATTAATGTAATAATTAAACATAAGCCTCCTGATGTGCCAAATGGCAGCTTTTACCAAATATTTTCTTTTTTTCCCCTTAATTTCTGTTTCTCATTTTAGTGTATTTTTTTTTCTTTCCTGAAAATTATAATCCTTTATGCTAGTTGGACAGATTTGTGTTTTAAATCAGATTTCTGTACAGAGTATGAGAATAACTCAGGTGGGTTTCACCCCAAGGTCAGTTCTTCGAACACTGTCTCAGATTTATTGTGTAAATTTATTGGGACATAGCAGGGCTGAAGACACTGGTCATTGTCCACGTGTCTGCCCAGTTGAGCCAATATGGTTCCTTTTGACCAGAGTTGGGTTTGTTGTCTTGGGCTTCTCTTTGAGGCTACTGCATGTGCTGGAGAGAGGCTTCCGACACCCTTGTTGGGCAAGAGAACAAGTACCCCTTATCGTCCGTATCTTTGTGATCAGGCTCTGATAGACTCTCTAAATTAAAAGAGGCAAGTTTGCTATAAGCAACTACAATTTGTTGTTGGAGGAGTGGGGGGGGGGCGGCGGGGCTCAATTGCTAGCAAATAAACCAATGCTCTGAAAGCAAACAAAAATAAACAAAGCTCTGCATGCTCTGAAAACGAAATATCCAAGCAGTGCAGAATAAACAAATGGACCACTGGCAAAAAACAAGGAAGGTCCAGGCTTAGAGAGAACTCAACATCACCTGAAGAGAGAACTCAACATCACCTGAAGAGAGAACTCAACATCACCCAAAGAGAGAACTCAACATCACCCAAAGAGAGAACTCAACATCACCCAAAGAGAGAACTCAACACCACTTAAAGAGGTAGCTCAGGTAGGTGCAGAGGACTTTTCTTTGGTATCTTGTGCCCATCCAGGTGACTCTTTGAGTGAAAGTGGATCCATAAACCTTTTTATTTTAAAAGATATTAGGAAACAAAAGGCCAAGGAAGGAGTTGGGGGAATCAATCTGAACAAAACATTACATTCATGTATGAAATTCTCAAACAATAAATTTTAAAAAATGAAGTTGCGAAGAAAAATGGACATATCAATAGTCTGGTCAAAACCGGAGGTGTCTGATTCCCTCCCCACCCTGCCAGTGGCCGTATTACAGTTTATGGAAAGATATGGTACAAAAGCTAGAACATATGAAGACGTACCTGTAAGATACACTAACTGGTCCCTTCCCGGAAGAAACAGACCAGAGCCCCAGGCTGTCCCTGTTCTGTTAGAGAATAGTCACTTAGTTTTATTTATTTATTTTTATCATTAAGGTTTCAGTGCATAAAATAGGGTTTTAAAGAGTTCCCTATTTTAAAAAAAGGCTAGATGATGCTGGAGAAGTGGCTGAGCATTTAAGAGCACTTCCTGCTCTTCTAGTGGTCCCAGGTTCTCCTGCAGTTCCTTCTCTATGAATCCATTTCTTTGATAGGTGCAGAATGGAAGTCTTTTGTCATCCCTTCTTCAGAAGTTAGCTTCAGCTCTGACACCTACATTTAACATTTCACGTCAATCTTAGCAGTGAAACAAATGTTACAACCCCTTAAATCTGTCTCCTGTTCTCGGGTTTCCGCATAGATCACTGCTACAGATCTGGAAATGGTGGCAGCCTGAAGAAACGCTTCCAGAGTTGGGATGCAATGGGAGGGCTTAAGTTTTTTTTTTTT